TTTTTTTTTTTTTTTTTTTTTTTTTCTGGTTTTGAACTGCTTTTACCTGAAGACCAGGAGAAAAGGAAAAAAAAAAAAAAACCCCACCAATGTAAAGTAGGCCCCTTATTTGAAATGCCAGGAAAGAAAATCTCTTTCCATGTCTTTGCAGGAGGAAGAGAACCTGAACCATCTGTAAGAATGTCCTCACACAAAAGCAACGTTTACCATGTGCTTGGTATGCGCTGGGCACGGGATGGAACTGAGTGAGACTGATATTGCCCCTCCACTCAAGAAACTTCTGGTCTCCTGAGCAGCCCAGCACTGAAGGCGTAACAGTGCTTGTGGAGCTCTGTGGGAGCCCACGGAGTAAAGGAATATTAGGCGGGATTGGAGGAGGTTTTACAGACGAAACGGCTTGAGCAAAGGTCAGGAAGCAAGAGAGGACGAGGCTCCTGGAGAATGGTAAGCAGCTTCATGTGGTTGGGACATGGACTGCTGAATGTTGTGGGGAGGAAGGTGGCTGGAGAGATAATGGAGCCCAGATCGTGCAGGTTCTTGTAAACCAGCTTTGGTTGTTCCTAGAAGGTTTGAAGTAAGAACACTTAATTTCTCTGCCTCAACCATGGCTAAACTTTAATCCCCTATGAGAAATTCTTCAACAACCAACAAGCCAGCGTTTAGAGATGGTATGCTTTGTGTGGAGTCTTATATTTAGAAATGAATATACAACACTAAACGTGGGACAAGCTTCACTTTTTAGATCTCCCCACCAGCCATCAACACTCGACAGAATATCAAGTCCACAGGCACCTGAGGTGCGTGGTATTGTGCCATGTGTTAAGTATTGAAGGGCACATGGTCAGCATCCCAGAAGTGAGTGGGCCTGAATGTATATTGAGCTACCTGGATATTCTGAACTTGAGGCCCCTCTTGGCTTTGGCCTCCATCCAAGGCCTGACTTTTCCTTAGCAGACCTGCTCATCCTGAGAACTTGGATTTGCTCTCTTAGCTTCTGCTTAGCTTCTGCTCACCTGCTGACTGCCACATCTTGATTGTCACTTTGAACTCTCTCCCTCTAAGACAATGACCCTCAGCTTGAGCATCCTGACGGTGATACGTGACCCCTCACCTCTGGCCCAGAGTGGGCTTGCCCAGCGTCCCCCCACATCTCCGCATGACAGGTACCTATGGAAAGGGTCATGGCTCTTAGCCTGTCTCGCACCAGCTTGACGAGCATACTCTTCTGGAGTGGGGTGGAGCGGCAGCACAGGACAGACCGGCAATACCGGGTCAACTCCAGAAATTTCTCCTCCAGTTTTCCCTGGAAAATGGCGTTCAACGTCTTCCCATCGATGACCAATCCAACCTCTGGAACTGCAGCTCCTGAGGTGGGGGGTGGCGTCACAGAAGGTAGGCAGAACCCAGAGAGCTTGTGGTCCGGCTTCTGTGGTCCATGAAGTTGCTTTACCTCTTCCAATACCAAACTGAGGATAGATTCACAGGTTTCCTATAAAGAGCAGAATTATGAATTTGGTGTCAGTAAACAGCATTAGAAACAGGTTAAAAATGTCACTTTATCCTTTAGTTAAAGAGTTATAAAACTCTATCCCCATAGAGATGACCCGGGATTTCACTCTCTGATTTTGACATTTCTCTGCAATATTTCAAACAGCATCAAAGCAAGAGTAATTTGGAACCAAATTAATGGCCAAAATAGGAGAGACAGCTTGGGAATGGGAGTGGAGATAGCACAGCAAGATGGGGGGCTCTTACAGGGATGATAGAATGTAGGAAATGATACTGATATGATGGCAAATGATGACAATGTGTCATGCTGATATCCTACTTTCCATTTCTCACAAGTCATTTCTGTTCTCCTTTGTTCCTCAGAACATTCCTGTGTGGTAGGTAGGGTATTACTGACTTTAGTTTCGAGATGAGGAAATTGAAACAGTGAAATCCTTAGTAACTTGCCCAAGTTCATCTCGAATTGTGGCTTCTTAACTGAAAAATTACACTGCGTGTTTATCCATTTGTATAAATGTATTGGTCGTACCAGTTAAAACTGACCATGTGGGCTTCCCTGGTGGCGCAGTGGTTGAGACTCCGCCTGCCGATGCAGGGGACGCGGGTTCGTGCCCCGGTCCGGGAGGATCCCACGTGCCGCGGAGCGGCTGGGCCCGTGGGCCATGGCCGCTGGGCCTGCGCGTCCGGAGCCTGTGCTCCGCAACGGGAGAGGCCACGACAGTGAGAGGCCCGCGTACCGCAAGAAAACAAACAAAAACAACAAAAAAAACTGACCGTGTATGTGAGTCTTATTGAGTTTTTCTGATGTTTACCTTGAAACATGGTGAAGAAATTATTTCCTCTTATCAATTCTCCTCCATTACTTTTGATTGTATCAAAGATAAAGACAGATCTTGGATCTAAAGATATCCTTAATACCTCTTTCACTTGTTTAAACATCACTTTTAAATAAAGATAGAGAAAAGTGGTGGCAGTCAGCTGTATTATCCATTTTAATTTCATCGTTCTGTTCACGGGGTCTTTATTTAGCAGTGTTCTTTTATCCGTGGCAAGGGATGATGATTTTTCATTTTCTGTAGTGCTAAAAATTCTTCTAAAAATAAGTTTTGAAAAGTTCAAAGTGAGTCTATTTAAATGAAATCATTAAATAAACAACAGTATAGATAATATGTGGATTTAGGCAAAAATCGTGAAGGTTGTTCTGAAATGACAAGTTTGGAGACCCCTGATCTAGAAGCTTCTGAGAATATTTGGAATAATTTCTTCTGGAGTGAGTAGGACTGCAGTTCATTATTCTGGAGGCTTCCTTTAGGGGACGCTAAACTGAGCACTGCAAGCAAGAGGATGTGCACAGGACCTAGCGGGGCCACAGAAAGTAGTTCAGGAGCAGGTGGTTATACCCGAAGCACTTTTCTGGGAAAGAGATCAAGGTAGTCCTTGCTGGAACTTGGGGTTGGCACACAGTATATACAGGCATACCTTGGAGATATTGTGGGTTTGGTTCCAGACCACTGCAATAAAGTGAATATTGCAATTAAGTGAGTCACATGAAATTTCTGGTTTCCCAGGGCATATAAAAGTTATGTTTAGTAAGTATACAATAACATTATGTCTAAAAAAAACTGTACATATATTAATTAAAATACTTATGGCTAAAAAGTGCTATCATCTGAGGCTTCAGCAAGTTGTAATCCTTTTGCTGGGGGAGGGTCTCGCCTCTATGTCCGTGGCTGCTGACTGATCTGGGTGGTGGTTGCTAAGGCTGGGGTAGCTGAGGCGATTTCTTAAAATAAGACAACAATGAAGTGTGCCACATCGATGGACTCTTCCTTTCATGAAGGATTTCTCTGTAGCCTGCAATGCTGTTTGGTGGCATTTTACCCACAGTAGAACTTTCTAAATTGGAGTCAATCCTCTCAAACCCTGCTGCTGCTTTATCAACTGAATTTATGTAATATGCTAAACCCTTTGTTGTCATTTCAACAATCTTCACAGCATCTTCACCAGGAGTAGATTCCATCTCAAGAAACCACTTTCTTTGCTCATCCATAAGAAGCAACGCCTCAACTATTAAAGTTTTATCATGAGATTGCAGCAATTCAGTCACATCTTCAGGCTCCACTTCTAATTCCAGTTCTCTTGCCATTTCCACCACATCTGCAGTGACTCCCTGCACTGAAGACTTGAACCCCTCAAAGTCATCCATGAGGGTTAGAATCAGCTTCTTCTAAACTCCTGGCAGTGTTGGTATTTTGTCCTCTTCCCATGAGTCACAAATGTTCGTAATAGCATCGAGAATGGTGAATCCTTTCCATAGGTTTTCAATTTATTTTGCCCACAACCAGCAGAGGAATCACTGCCTATGGCAGTTATAACCTTATGGCATATATTTCTTAAATAATGACTTGAAAGTTGAAGTTCCTCCTTGATCCATGGGCTGTAGAATGGATGTCATGTTATCAGGCATGAAAACAACATTAATCTCATTGTACATCTCCATCAGAGCTCTCAGGTGACCGGGTGCATTGTCAGTGAGCAGTAATATTTTGAAAGGAATCTTTTTTCCTGAGCAGTAGTAGGTCTCAGCAGTGGGCTTAAAATATTCAGTAAACCACGCTGTAAACAGTTATGCTGTCATCCAGGTTTTGTTGTTCCTTTTACAGAACATTGGCAGGGTAGAGTTTAGCAAAATTCTTAAGGGTCCTAGGGTTTCCATAATGGTCAATGAGCACCGGCTTCCAGTTAAAGTCACCAGCTGATTAGCCCCTAACAGAGTCAGCCTGTCATTTGAAGCTTTGAAGCCGGGAGGGCACTGACTTCTCTCTAGCCATAAAAGTCCTAGACTGCATCTTCTTCCAATATAGCACTGTTTTCTCGACACTGAGAATTTGTTGTTTGGTGTAGCCACCTTCATTAATGATCTTAGAACTTCTGCATAACTTGCTGCAGCTCCTACATCAGCACTTGCTGCTCCACCTTGTACTTTTATGTGATGGAGATGGCTTCTTTCCTTAAACCTCATGAACCAACCTCTGCTAGCCTCAAACTTTTCTTGGGCAGCTTCCTCACCTCTCTCAGCCTTCGTGGAATTGAAGAGAATTAGGGCCTTGCTCTGGATTAGGCTTTGGCTTAAAGGCATGTCGTGGCTGGCTTGATCTTCTATCCAGACCACTAGAACTTTCTCTGTATCAGCAGTAAGGCTGATTCACTTTCTTACCATTCATGTGTTTATCGGAGTAGCACTTTTAATTTCCTTCAAGAATTTTTCCTTTGCATTCACAACCTAGCTAACTGGCACAAGACACCTAGGTTTTGGTCTGTCCCAGCTTTCAACGTGCCTTCTTTACTAAGCTTAATCATTTCTAGCTTTTGGTTTAAAGCTAGAATTTCTAGCTTTTGGTTAAAAGCTAGAGATATGCAACTCTTCCTCTCAAACACTTGGAGGCCATTGTAGGGTTATTAATTGACCTAATTTTGATATTGTTGTGTCTCAGGGAATAGGGAGGCCTGAGGAGAGTGCGGGGGGACGGAACAACCTGTCCGTGGAGCAGTCAGAACACCGACAACACTTATCAGTTAGGTTCGCTATGTTATATGGGTGCGGTTCTTGGTACCCTAACACATCAAAGAACACTAGTCACAGATCACCATAACAAATACAGTAATAATAAAGAGGTTTGAAATACTGCAGGCGTTACCAAAATGTGACACAGAGACCCAAAGTGATCAAATGCTTTTGGAAAGATGGCGCCAACAGACTTGCTCAATGCAGGGTTGCCACGAAACTGTAAAAAAACAGTGTCTGCAAAGTGCACTGAAGTGCAATAAAATGAGGTATGCTGTCAATTCCTCCAACATGTGACTGCAGCAAGTCATTGGAAATATAAGCTTCAAAATAAAATCTCTGAATTTACTTATTTCGAATTTTCTATGTAATAATCATAATCGTTACCATTCATTTAACATTCAGTATCTGTCAGGTACTGAGGCAGGCAGCCTCTAAGATGGTTCTCAGTGATCTCCATCTCCTGGTATTCATGTCCTTCCTTGTGTAACCTCCAACCCTTGAGTGTGGTTATGACTAATGACTCCTTTCTAATGAAGAGAATTCTGCAAAAGTGATGGAATGTCGCTTCCCAGGTCAGTTTATCTAAAGACTGTGGCTACCAATCTTGGCAATCTTTCTCACTCTCTGTCTTGAATGGCTTACCCTGGAGAAAACCAGCTGTCACGTTGTGAAGCAGCTCGGTAGAGGGGCCCCTGTGGTGAGGAACCAAAGCCTGTCAATAATCATGTCCGTGAGCTTGCAAGAAGGACTCCTCTCCATCACCAAATGGCCCAACCAGTTGAGCCTTTAGATGAGCTCACATCCCTGACTGACAGCCTGACTGCAACCCCAGGAGAGACCTTGAACCAGAGGTACCCAGCTAAGCTGCTCCTGGACTCATAACCCACACATACTGTGGGATAATAAATGTTTACTGTTTTCAGCTGCTAAGTTTTGGGGTAATTTGTTAACTCATATAAATGCAGTGCTAGTTAAGTATTGTTCTTCTGTGAACTTATTTAACCCTCCCAATAGCCTCTGAAATAAATCTTTTTAATCCCTATTCTACAGATGAGAAGAATGAAGTTCAGAGAGAGATGGTATCTGGACCATATTAAGCCTTCAGTGTATGTTGTTAATAATAACAATAATAGTTGCTATTACCAGTTCCTATCTAATACTATATAGTCCCTTCTAAAATTCCTTGACAGATCAACATTTCCAGTGATGGGTTAGTAATTTTCTCATGTTATGGATGAGAACCCTGAGTTCTAGACAGGTCCCATAGCTTGCTTATAGCTTTAAGATACATAACAAAGAAACCATAGCCCTAAATCAATTTATATTGAATCAGATTAAAACCCTTGGAGGAAATATCCACCAAATATGTAATTACATTAAACTGGGGTTTACATAAGTTTGAGATTTAGAATAGGTTTCCCCAGTTTCTGTCTTAACATATCTCTGCACATACTACTTTCCCAAGGAGATGAGAAAGCCTAATTTTCCGCGTTTAGTGGGCCTGGGGGTGTAGGCAAGGTCCAACATTCAGGTACCATCTTGGAGGGTTGTGGACAGCTTTAAAATTGTTGACAGTGACTGAGCTCAACTCGGAACGTGGCCCACAGTTCCTTGGGAACTTTGGCTAATTAATCAAGAGGCATCTTCCGCTTCCTATAGGAATGCATTGCATTTAACAGAACCCACAGAAGCCCACTCTATCCCCCTCAGGAGCACTCACAGGCTTGTTGATATCCTCCTCCTGGAATCTGATGGAGTGAAATGATCATTGCAAATGGAATTTCCATTGCAAGTGGGGGAGGCAGACATCCACACTATTACAGGGATCAAGCACTCAAGCAAGCTGCAAATTACTTTCTTTCCTAGGCATAATATTAACGCCAAGATTTCCCTGAGAATAGTTTCATTTTGAAAATTCACTGGGGTTTAATCTAATCATGGCATATCTGTTCACCTGACAAGAAAGTAAGTGATTTTCCCAGTTCATCTAAAGGGCCTCTGGCACTTTTATTAGGATTCACTACCTCTTTAAAAAAAATATGTGTACGTGGATTCTTCATGGAATGAAAACTAAATTGAAACCTGTAAACGTCTATTCTGGGTCCAGTTCAGCCCCAGGCAAAAGTGAAGGAGTGAGATTCCATCATCCTTCCTGCCTCTCTTTCTGCGCTGTTCTTTCCATCTTCCATCTTCCTCCCTCTCTCCATCCTTTGTTCTAGGTCCCCA